TCCGCTTTCATCAACCCCATTGAGGTCATCTTCACTAGAAGATGAACTTTGCATCATTTTTTCTAACGAAACTTGTTTTTCCGCCCTAAACACAGCCTGTTCAGCGACGAGCCCCACTCGGAGCGTTCGAATACATGTTGGCGTTTTTAATGGTGTAGGTCACATTTTAAGCTGCACGTGATAAATTTAAACAATCCTTTTTGTCAGGGTATTAAAGGACATAAGGGTGCGACAATAAATTTTCCTATGATTGAATTGGCACCATATTCGAGTGAAAAGTAGTCTTTTAGACAGCCATTGCCAAAAAGGGATTTTTGTAGATAGTTTTTTTATCGTTGCCTTCGAGGCGCTCACGTAACTGATACGTACACGTTATCCGTCGATGACTGGCAACCTGATCATGCCACACGCTAAACGCTTTTATGCTATTTTAAAATCATCACTCTGATACTTTCTCAAGGAGATAATCAACTAAAGGTAGCTCCTTTGTGTTTCGAGAAGGCGTTACCTTCAAGGAGGTAGAAAGACCCGTCAATCTTTACAACTGCTAAACTTGAAGATTTCGATTTCTGAGATCAAAAATTCTTATAACTAATATACGGCATATGCAATGGGTTATTTCAAATTCGTGTTTACAGCTTTTTGTACTATTGTCTGCTAAAATTAACGATTCACATTTTGGCTCTTTATTTTTGGTAAGATATGGCTTCTTCGGGCTATCTTTTCCAGCTATGTCAAGCCGCTGATTTCAAATTTGAGGAAAACAGGAAGATATTGCTTTAAGTGTTTTTTAAGAGACACAAGGATTTAAGCCTTTAGTTTTGTCGATTGAATTTCTTTAAATACATGCATTTCCTTTTAGAACTATCGGTGGCTATCTCCTTTGGAGTTCTGCTAGTCTGTGCCTGGGTTACCCGCCGCGTCCTTCAATTCTCTTTTCGTGAAGTCAATTCCCCTCTTACTGTATAATGTTTTACACAACTAAACCCTCGCTGAAATTTGGCTACCTGATCTGTCAGAAGGTTACCTAATTGTCAGTTGCCTCGAGACAATTTGTGAGCAAAATTCACAGGTCGGTGATAACTCTCGGCTTCTGTACCTATGCGTGACCTAACTAAATATAAGTCACAAGTCAGTACAAGCCAGTCGTAATCCGGCTTTACCGCGTAGCAGCTTAATCTGCCGACACTTTACAACTGCAATGATTTTATGCCAAAGTTTGCATTCGGCTCTTAATTCTTGGAAAATTAATCGATGAGAACATCTCCGATATTCTCTCTCATGATTGCACTCGTCTTCAATCACTTCTTCACCTAATCGTTAGTGAATGTAGTTATGGACAAAAACGAGCTTATAACCGACCTTCCCATATTGCTTATTCATTTATGCTCGACTTATATATCAAGCGGATTTTTCCTCGAGACACGGAAGACGTCAGCAATTATTTCTGTCTTCAAGCCTGGATCTCGGTCTGATGTTAATAACTATCCGGAGCTGCACAAAACATTGTCTTTGACAAACTTACGTGGAAGGATAGTTCCCAATGCATTTCAGTCGGTCAGTCAGTGTATTTGGGGGAAATAGGCTTACGCCTTTGAACTCCCTATTTGTACATAAAAAATCGAGAAAATAAGCAAAAATATGAAGAAATTACAGCATTAGGTGAATGAAGACACTGATCCACCTAAGTCACTGGTCTCATGGCTACAAAGTCACATAGTCCGCTTGTTGCTGCAGCATATGTCTCTCAAGCCGACATTAAAATGTCTCCACAGATTGAGACACAACCATCGTCTCGTGCAGGTTATTCCACGGTTCCATGTCACGGGTGGAGAAGAAATACTTTCTCACATTTAATCTACCCTGTGGCACACGCAGCTTAAAGGAATGTCCCCGGAAGTTAGCTGTGGTGGCAAGTTGGAAAAAGTCGTCGCACCGAAGGGCGCAGCCCAAGCCACGCACTATAAGGAAAGTTTGTATCAAGTATCCGCGCAACTGCCTATAACTCAGAGGATAGAGGTTAAAGTTATTCAGGTGGGTCTCGTATGACAGTGCACCTTGACCTCTTATTAATTTTGCTGCTCGTCTCTGCACCATGTCCAGTAGATTGTAGTCCTGATGCGTCCATGTCTCCAGGCCTGAATTGCATATTCGAGAGGCAGTCTTACAAACGTGCCGAAGACTTTGGAGAGGCAGTCTTCGTCGAAAATTGCGAATGCCCGCTTGATGGCGTATATCATTGAAGTTGCGGCTTTAGCTGCCTAACAACATTGTCCAGAAGGCTTTAGGCTGTCAGCAACACAGACTCCTTGATCCTTCTGCGTTTCTGATACTCGGAGTGACCTTCCGTTCAGATAGTATTGTCGCTTACTAGGGGTCTGATTTCCGAGACGCAGTATCTGCATTTGTTTAAATTGAAGGACAAGAGCCATCTGCGGGACCACTCGTCCAATCGACAAAGATGTTCTTGGAAGTTAGTCCCATCGGCAGAGTTCTGGATGACTTTCCAGATTTTTATGTCATTCGCAAACATGGCACTATCACACTCCAACCCATCTACACAATCATTGGTGAACAAGAGAAAGAGGGTTGGTCCGAACAGCAAGCCTTGTGGGACTCCACTCTCTATGAATGTGCGCCTTGAATGTTGTTGTTCTACGCAGACAATTCGGGAGCGGCTGACGGGGGAATCCTCGATCCATTTGAGAAATTTGCCGCCGATGCCCATTTCTTGACTTTTTCTAGCTAATCATCGTCTCATCTCCTATCAGCACAGACTTTTACCCGAAAGATCCTGCGAAACTTGCCACTTGGTCTTTCTTAATCTAATCACTTCTCTCTGTAATGAACAACAGTCAGTGGTCGTTATCTGCTTTGATCTTAACAAAGCCTCCGACAAGGTGCTCATAGACGCCTTTTAGTAAAATTGGCAGTTCTCGGTATCCGGCCTACTCTACCCGACTTCATCGGATCCCACCTTTCCAGCCGCTATTAGGAAGTCATGATTGGCAACAGCTACTCAACACCTCACTAAAGACCAACGCCGACCTCGACCTCGCGCCCTCTTTCCGCGAAACCATCAGGGCCGTGCAACGGTTATCCAGCGGGATCGGATCGGATGCAATCGGGTGCAAGCACGGTGACCCCCAACTCATGGATCCTCTGAGGGCGCTCGTCTAGGAGATTTTGCGTCATGGAGAACTTCCTGCAGAATTTCAAAAACTCCGCAATCGTCCATCCCTATAATTGGAAAGGTAACCATCAGCTTTATGACAACCGTGGGACATCCCCATGAGGAACATCCCCGGGAAAATCTTCGCTTGCATTCTTCTCAACTGTCTGAATAGCACCCGGAACAAGGTATCCGGCCAGAAAGCCAGTGCGGCTGCCGCCGTCATCAGAGAACCACGGACACGATCTTTGCCGCCCGCCAAATGTAGGAGAAGTGTCGGGAGATGCAAACCCCCTGTACTCTGCATTCGTAGATCCCACAAAAGCCTTCGACACGGTGAATCGAGAAGGACTGAAAAACCCATGCAGAAATTCGGCTGTCCCGAATTATTCACTCAGATAATGCGACAACTTCACGATGGCATGACGGCGCGCGTCACGGTCAATTGCGTCGTCTCAGAAGCATTCGCAGTGACCAACGGAGTGAAGCAGGACTGCGTCCCCACGTGTACCTTCTTCACTATCATATTCTCGGCCATGCGATTGGCGCCTTCCACGACTAACGTCTCGGGATCGGCGTCGCCTACAGGATGGAGGGCTAACTCCTAAATCATCGGTGGACGCACTTGCAGTCGCGTGTACCCACTATTACCGTCCATAAACTTCTATTCGATTATGACTGCGCTCTCGACGTCATCACGGAAGGGGGCATAAAAAGATGCATGGAACTCTTCGCCGCCGCCCTCTACAACTTCTATCTGGTCATCAGCATGTAGAAAATGATCGTTATGTACCAAACGCCTTCCGACGCTGCCTATGTCTCACCCACAATCAACGCAAACGGCGTCCGACTGCAAGCCTCGACAGCAAGGGCGCTAAACTGGTCATGAAGATAAGACTGCGGGCAGTCGAGTAAGAGATCAAGAGCGGCGTGGAAACTCACAGGGGAGGCAAACGACGAAGAAGACGCAGGAAAAGGGACGCCGGCAGTTACTGTCCATGAAGAGAGAGCAGGAGCAGGGGGCGGTCTTCTGGGGAGGTGTTAACGGCCTGAATGAGTAGGCGGGAGTTAGGAAAACGACGGTCGGCTGTTGTCGGAAGGATGGCACTGAGTCGAAAACCAGTATCGCCTAAGAGAACGTGTCATTAAGGCTTTTGTTGACATAGAAAGCGCGACCGGTGTCGGAGTTGCTAGAGAGATCGTCTGTGCTGACCTTCAGGCCAACCTTTTTTAGTAGGTAGCTCCGCTTGAAGATGAGAAAAGACTGTAGCTGGCAGCCATCATGACCGGTCTGGCGTCATTGTTCAAGACCTCACTTCCTCAAGGTCATTTACTTTCCTGTAGTGAGCTGTTCCAGACACGCTGACCTTAAGTCCCACGACCGACAGCACGGACATACCTGCGTCCGCACGGCCGCAGTTGCCCATGAGGCCACTTGAACGCACCTCCCCCTGCAACCACAGTCTAATCCACTGGGAAACCACCCCTCGGCAAATGCAACACACACTGACTGGAAACCAGTTGAGCCTACAAAAGCGGCTGCCACCACTGTCCCAGAGACTCTCAGGGCGCAGTGAGCATCAGACCTGGCTTCGCCAGAGGCCACTGCCGCCTGAGAGGACAACTCAGGGTTTAGTGTAAATTAAACCCTCATTCTGGTTCCTTCTCTTTTCTCTCACTCCAACACGGGATCTCACCTGACGATGGTGGCGCACACGCCACAAGACGGAAAGTTCGAGTAAGAATATCGAGTGTGATATAGATGGGTACTTGACGCAGCCCTGCATTTACAATAATCAATCATCTTACATAGCTGCGCGGCCGAAAGAGAAACGGGGTTTGGTGCCACGATCTTTTGCACTCTGGTGAAAAATTATTCCGTCACCGCCGACTATATCGGAGACTGGAAACGAGGACAATAAAGGGCGAGAATTGGAGTAGGACAATCTTTACTCCGGCCGGTAGAATAAAATCAGCTCGAAAGGTAGTGGCAACAAATGTCCAACTAAACTAAGCGTCGGTCGTTGCTGTGTACGCAAGCGCGAGCTGTTTGCACACTCTTGCATTATGCTTAGCTAAAACCAATCGCCGAAGAGCAAAATACAGACTGGAGTCACAGCAGCGGTAAGTCAAATGCTCAACTGAATGCATCTCAAGAAGTCAACTGTTAAGGCGCGTTTGATCGTTGTCACCGATCCGAGCAGACTGCTATAGCCTTCAGCCGTCGCTCACTAAACCCCTTATCTAGCTAGCGGACAATGTTTTGAAATTTCTAAAGCTCACTGCCTTCGGTCCTTTGGTGGCATTTATTCTGATAAGTATTTGCCGTTAATCTGTTGTTGGGAATGGTCACGCTAAGGTCGGGTTTTAATGGGACTGATGCCGATTAAATGTTAAAAACTAGACGGCATTTTTAGCGTCAACGAGAGGGGTGGTACGACCATATCAAGCTACCACGCCCTTGATTGATTAGACGGTTCGTTGCGCAAACCGCAGCCCCAGCGACACATTTTCTGCGTCTTGGCTCGACCAACCGGTCTACGAACCCACGATACCCACTAAAACTTGGATAGCATGGGTCAATATGGAGTTTGGTCTCAGGCTCTTAGGGTTGCACTGGGTTGTACAATCGTCCTAGTGGTGGAGATTCAGGTCTTTGCCCCTGGGTGAACGAATCTCTCCGCGGGCTTGAGATGCTGCCGCCGTGACCCGTCGCGCCCTCAACCGATCACTCGCGTGCAAAGTTACGTCGGAACCACTTTGGTATCGGAACTGTTGGCGTCAGTGGTGGTGGAAATGCTGGTCATAATGAGGTCGGTCTGTCGTTAAAGGGAAACCTTGAGCCGCGTTGTTATGACAGCTTTCGGAATACAAAGCGACAGCGATAGTCTCTCTCGCACTTTGTCTAATTCCGATCCTTCGTCAGATATGCCGGACGGTTACCGCAGTAGAGGCTAACTGTTAAATATAGATTTTGGGGAGGGTACCATCGGGTTAGCGCCGGAAGCAGAAAGGGGCTTTGTACCGTAGGTGTCCCACAGTTAGCTGGCGGGTTGGTGTACGATAGCCCCCTCTCCACCAATGGCATTTGCGCCGACTCACCCTTCCGCATCAAACAGGGCAATAACGGCCACTGATACATCCTTGTCGCAGAGACAGATTCAAGAATCGGGTGCGACAGTGACTGGATTATCATTTGACGATGGCAGTCAATACGCATGAACTGACCACTCCAATGCTCCTCGCCTTCATAAGTAAAAGTTCCCGACAGCTTATGGCTATTCGGCCTCCTGTGCGTAGACGGAACTCAAAGACAAAACGGCGAAACCATCTCCATTCTGAAATCAAAATGTTTCGACTGAAATCTGAGTCTTTTTGGTCAAGTAGTTCCTCACTGTAATTATGTAAAGTCTACTCCCTATGAATAGTTTGTCACACTAGAATGCATGCATAATATAAGACGACCGTAAATCGGGCTTATTACCGTTAATCAAACTTCGGGTTCACTCATTCTAAGCCGAAAGTAAACCAAACAGTATAGTGTATCGTGATCCACGGGTCAGAAACAGCAATCTGATTCATGGGGAAAGAAGAGATAGGACACCCACGAGTGGGTCGACTAGATCTGACCCACCAACACACAAGAATGAGCAAGTAACTTCGAGTAAGTCAGTTTCGACTGCGAAGTTGCATGACGAGACACCGATCGGCACCAACTGTGACTCGTTACTTTCCCCCCCCCCCAATCGATCTAACTGAAACTGCAAGTTTTGAACGCGCGTTATAGCGGCGGTGTCAAACCGAATGCATGTAATTTTATGAAGTTCGTGCCTTATTTATCGCGCGAGAGCTAATTGAAAGGCATTTGGGTAATTTATACTTGAGTCTGCTGTACCGGCGTGCGGTTACGTTCGAAAACGAAATCAGGAGAGTAAGCGCAGCTTGCTAAAGTAGTGATCCTCGTAAGATGAAAAATCGGGGTTCTAGAATCGAGATGATAACGGCTGGCCTTTGCTTGAGAATCCATAGTACTGAGGCGTTTGTCTTAGGACTACTATCTGAGAATGCGACAAGGACGTTTCATCTGACAACGGCACAAAGGCCTGTATGATCGAGTGAAGCAGTACTTACTAGAGTCAGCCGAAGGATTGCATTAATGACGACATTAACCCAAGCAAACATGTAATACGCTGCTCCGAAAACAGCAAGCCTAACATGCACATTGTTTCCATACCAATTTGATGGACGCATGACGGAGGAAACATTCCCGTATGTAGATATGATCAAGATCAAAATAAAAAAAATCAACAGCATGCTGTTGCCTTTGAATACAAATTTACTTGTAAGATATAAAATAATGGAAGAAGGTGGATGCGGTGAGTATGATATGAGGATCCCTTGAACGCCAATGCAGAAAGCACTAATGCATGAGTTCCTGGATGACAGCTACTGCTTCTGATACATCCCCGCCGGTCTGTTGGAGTGCACGCCTTGAGAGGTCGCGCCGAAATCCCATCTCAACAAGGCGTTGGATCTAAAAAAAATTGTGAAAAAGGGACAACTTTAACAAGTTCGAAAGGCTGAACGCAGGCCAGTGAAATATGACCCGGAGGACGGAAGTAAGTAACAAACCATGTCGCTTTAATAAGAGAAAAAGGGGAGGACCTCATCTTAAAGGACTTTTGTATATACTTGCCTGAACCTGAAGTTGCCAGTTAGAAGATGGTACAAATGAGTAACGGCCTACGACTGGGTGATTTCATGGGAAGGTTGACGGCAAAGGTCCGGGTTAACGGCAACCCGTATAAAGAGGAATGACTCCACCAAAGGTCTCGTATCACTCCCGGCAAATTTTGTTAGTGTCAATAAACAACGAGTAGTGGAAATAATTCGCCAATAAAAAGAAACTTGCCTCTTCCTCCGACGGGGTGTACACGGGTATTCGGCGTCTGATCCCACCAAAAGGCCATCCATCTCCAATCTAAGGTTCATAAGGGCAGCACAAAAAGGACGTTGATAGGGTAAAAGAACAATTGTTTTCCAATAAATGCAGTCCAGTTGAGCCGGCAATAAGCCCCAAGAACGTCGTTCAGTGTTGCACCTCGACCCACAGGATCCATTACTGCAGGAGTGGTCTGTCGTCACACACGCACGCACGCTCAAAATATAGGCAGAACTTGTTCGTGCGCCCCAATGCTGCAGCCTGCAGCTGCAGATCCTCCATACACTTCCCCACTTGACCTGCACTGTGCTTCACAGGGCACAAGAAAAAGACATGTTTGTGAGCAGCATTCGATTATAGAAAAGGTGGTTGGCTGCCGACAATCCCTACTTCCAGACCCTCAGTCAACCTCTCCTCCCATACAAGGGGCGGCAGTGAGTTCACCTGGCGGCAACCATAAAAGGACATGCTTACATTGACGAATTGACAGTTGTGCCGAGACTAGCCGTACAAGGTGGTCACTCCACTTCGACGCCACCTAGCACCCAACTAAGCTATATGGCTTCACGAAGATGCACTCAACGCAGTGGTCACATACACTGATATTCGCTTCGGCTGGCGGGTCGGTGGTCGGCGTGCCTTCCCATCCGGTAAAATTGTACCTCTAGTGCAGTTTGGTCGACGACGAAGAACAAGGTGTGCAGTTGCATGAGAAGATTGGGCCTATACACCGGAGTGACTATTGACGCTTCATCTACTTGCGAGTCGCATTATCTTGGTCACGTCGTCAGATCACAATGGGGTTGGGAGGTGTGAGGTCGATCCTACTCCGATCTTTCGTACAAAAATCCGCTTCGAACGTACGTCCTCTTTACTGTTCATTCACTTCTAACATTAGTCCCTCGGTTCTCCTCATTCCCTCTGACGGCCTGGAATGGCAATTTTCCTTTAAAAAACCTAATAGTCAACTGGCGAGAAAATAGAACTGCTCTGCTCGCCCGCGAGTTCAACAGATACAAAATGGATACCATCAGGAGACATGCATGTGCGAGTAAGGACTGTTAAGGTAGCAAGACCGTCGCAGCGAAGACGCGATGTTGCAGACGACTTTACCATCAGAAATGACGCGATAAAGAAGTCTATCGCCCACTCACGTGATAGTTTGCAGTAAACGATTCGCCACCCAAATTAGAGCCTGCGCTTCAACAACGACGGACCTAGACGCTTTAACAAACATGGCACGTGAGGATATGCATAGCGCCTTTGCAAAGCCCGTAATCATCCGAGGGATGAAAATATGTACGGATCAGATGCAAAATTTTCTGCTCGTCGACGACCGCGAATTTGATGACACGACTGCTGCGAACGTGCACTGGAGTCTGGACCTCCCCACCTCCAAATGCACAAACTTGAGACTTACCGTCTACATGAACGGAACAGTAATCATGCACTTGTCGCGACATGAACTGAACCCATGGTCACCCATGCACTCACTGCTGTATTCACGTATCCCATTGCCACCCGCAGAAAAAGAGAATGGTCAGGACGACACAGTGGCAAGCACCCAAAAGTTTGCAGTTTCTGATGATACAGCTATGCAATAAACAGGGTCAAAGATACATGGCAATGGACAGCATATTAAAGGAGGCCTCGACGAAGGGGCAGGAAGTCTTCATCCCACTTCCATAAGTTCTAGACGTGAGCGTAGCTTCTAGACCGATGCCTAACCGCGCTCACGTCGCCGAGCACTAGGAAAAGTGAAAGTCTCTCTTCTGGTGACGACACTCGGAGGTCGAGACATGCCTTAACTTTCTGGGCGGAACTGATAGCGAGGTCGGTGGGATAAAGGAAGTTCAGAACACGAAGCCAGTCGCGTGACCTTCCCACAATTCCATTTGTGCATCGACAGCACAACGTGCGGACAAACGGGCGGTATCGAGTGGCACTAATAACGCCACCTCTATGGATTCCCCCTGTCGCCTAAGTGGACAGAGCCCGACGACGTAGCGGTGCGCCTGCGCACTGCACCGTTCTGGAAGTATGACCGCAACAAAGCATGTCGCCACGGCTCTGGCAAACGAAACTGCAAAACCATTTGTAACGCCGATAGCAGACACCTGGATGTTCACAGCGCTAATCTATTGAACGTGGCATTTGGGAACAGGTCTCCTTCCGGTCGTCGTCGTCGTCGTCGTCGTCGTCTCTGTTCCAGTGTGGAAGGTAGGAAAAACCGTCGCCTTCGATGGTCTAGACAGGGGTACCACGTTTCAGGCAGATACTTACTAGTGCGATCGGCAGCACCGTGCGGTGGTTAAAATGGACAGAGGGAATTATCAATAAAGAGTCCACGAAGATGTCCAGAAGTGGATTCGCCGGGCCGACGCAAACTACAAAACCATAGCCAAGGAAGAACCGCTCTGCGTCGCTAACCTGGTAAACTTACCCCATCTGCGTTCATGGTAACTCTCCGGGCTTCCATCCAGCTCTGTTCCTGCCTATCTAGTTCTTCTTGGTACTGGAGCTCGAGGGTCGCACCTAGCGGTCTCTTTAAGGTTGAGGGTGGAGTGCTTCGGAGCCAGGGCCCGAGGCCGTTAGAGACCACCTCCACTGTCCTCTTTGGAACAAAGAGCCTCTTCTGAAGGCCAAATAAGTTGTACTGATAGGCTAAACCAACTAGCTGCAACAGCATGACCAGGTAATAGGCAGCCCTACCAGACCGCAGGCGCAGACTAACAGAGATTCGACTGATGAGGTGGCCAGCTGAATTTGGAAAGGCGTTTGTTGGTCTCCAAGAAGGATAGAATCGAAAAACATACCTGAAATCCGAAGAGGTACAGGAATGTTTTTCCAGTCAGTGGAATGCCAAAAATTGATGCCAATGGAACTCGCGGAATGTCAAAGTAATAGGCTGGAAAGAATGGATAGATGAGAAAAAAACTGTTGCGCTGTAAATTCTACAGGGGTAGGGCTTACGGTCCAGAGGGCAGATAACGAATTTCGAGGTGCAAAAGACGAAGCAGGACAGCAAGGGTTAATTCCAGGACTGTGGTCGAAATTCCGAACACGATGATAGTCGACTTCAAGGAAAGTGAACGGTTTGATTAAAGTCATTACACGAGGTTTACCACATATTTGCGCGCACCATAACGTCGTTCGAAAATGCGAAGGTAGTAGATCAACAGGCAGCCAAGAACCAGGTCTGTAGTTTCAAGGAAAGCCAGTTTGCTGGTCAGCGACCTCCAGATCTGCACGGCGGAAACTTGTGTAAAACGACAGGAGGGGAGAACTTACAGCACCATTGTGAAGTATCTGGTCCAGATCGTTGATGAATATGTTTCCGTAATTGGAAAACGGCATTTGAAGGAGAAAGGAGAGCAGCAGTGTAAGGGCAAGGCAGCATTTTGAGATCGTCGTCTTGTCTAAAACATAAAACGGAAACTTCTATGTTTTGCCAAGATGAACCCCGACAAAGTTTGGACGGCTTGTGAAAAACAGCCTGGAGACGACCTGCACTTAAATGGAGGCCTGGGATGGAAAAGGCAAACAGGTCGCTCAGTAGAAAAACCGAGACTGAAAAACCCGATATTGAAGCACTGGCCAAAACGAGAAACCGAAGTTGCGGCAGGCCCCTCGCTCCATGTTTTAATAAAATGGGTTCAGTGAGGGAATTGTAACTTCTTCCGACCGCGTGTTGAAGCTCCCTACCAAACTTCCTACAGAAGACCTTAAGCTTGTAAAATGTTGTGGCTGACGTCAGTGATGAGATGCATGTCAGGAAAGGTCTTTTGCACCTTAGTTAGCAACGACTCGTACAGAGTATGGGGAAAGTTACCAATGCCTGTTGCTATGCACATATTTTGGCCAGGCAATGAACATTAGAGGGTTTTGAAATGAATAGCAAATCGTGCTGTGAACTCCAGTAGCTTCTAAATGAGACCACCGCATATAAGACAGTGAATCAAAGGCGATACATTTTTGTCCATAATAAACATTCAATCAGGAGTGGGCGCACACCGATCTATTTGCTTCACGAAGCAAAAAACTCTGTATGGGCGGCAAAGGTCACGAACAGGCAACCAATTACCAGGCCGAAGTCGGCCAAGTCATAATAGTAGCAAGGAGGGACGACAGAGAATGCGGGTAGATTGACACAGTACTGTTTCGGGCTTATTTTGCCCTCATTCAGCCAATCATAACCCTGGCCAGCAGCTGGGAGCAGAAACACAAACATGCGCACAGACGCACCTGGCACATTTGGTCCACCACTGGGGCCTACCAGATTAGTCCTAAGCACTTCATCGAACCGAAGTTCATCAATGCCTCGCCACCCTCCTTGCTGCTATTATGACTTGGCCGACTTCGGCCTGGTAATTGGTTGCCTGTTCGTGACTTTTGCTACCCATACGGAGCTTGTTTACTTCGTGAAGCCAATAGATCGGTGTGCGCCCATTCTTGATTGAATAAATACCCGATCTGCGGCGGCAGAGAATGACAGGTGGCGAGGCACTGATGAACTTCGGTTCGATTAAGTGCTTATGACTAATCTGGTAGGCCTCAATGGTGGACCAACTGCGCCAGGTGCGTCTGTGCGCATGCTTGTGTTTCTGCTCCCAGTTGCTGGTTAGGGTTATGATTGGCTGAATAAAAGCAAAATAAGCCCGAAACAGTACTGTATCAATCTACCGCATTCTCTGTTGTCCCTCCTTGCTGATAATAAATATCCTCCGCACTCTCATAAACATGTGAAAAAAGATAGCATCGAAGATCAATAAAGTACGACGTGCGGTAACGCAGCTCATCTGTGCTGGGTAACTTCGGAAACGACTCAAATGCCTTCCAAAACGTGGTTCGTAAAGAGCTCGGGAGTCGCCAAAATCTCCAAATGTAAGGCAAGGTTCAAGAGAAGGGCCGGTTTTGCTTGCATGTGGTGAAACTGGATTCATTCCATGAATGCCATGAGAGCAAACACCTGTGCATAGTCGTTAGTGACTCTTTCGCGTAACAATCGCTCGCACTGGTCTCGGTGTAGCTGCTCCGTGCGTTAGAGACGCGACAAATTCGATGAATAAGGGTTAACCACCATCATTCGAGAACTGTCAGGCGATGCATATCATAAAAGTGTAAATGTCCATATAGAAGGACCGGTGACGATAACCTCTTACACTCGCCGCTGAGCTTTCAGACTTTGTCATGCCAAGCACAGAGTCCCACAGACCATGGTGACTAACGTCTTCTTGATCTGCTAGTAGACTTTGAAGTTACGTAGCAGAAGCCATACACTAGTTCCGAAGTTTCCCCGTCCGCCCTGACCGACCAAACATATCTGGCTACGAAACCTGAGACAACCATCACCGTACTGGAGAGTTTTTTTATGCGCGCTTCGTCAGCCATTGAACTCACACAAGGTGCCGTATGTTGCATCACAGAAAAGAGACTCGCCAGCACCGTAATATACTCAGATTATTCAGAATCAGTAACAAACTGGCGTACCACTACACCGGGTGCGCGTGCTGCTAAACTAGGTCTATTATCAGCACTAAAAGGGGGAAAACCCAACCGAGATTGGTTAGAACTAAGTCCGAGGAGATAAGAACTTGTTGAAAGAAAACATGTGCTCGTGCAGTCGGGCGTCAAGTGGAGTAACAGGATGGAGCCCAACTTCAGGAATGCTAATGGTTACGCTCGGCGAGCGAAATATTATTCGCGCTCTAGATGACAAGGGTTAAATGACCACAGTATTCGCGCGCTTGAATGTAAGACAGAGGGGGGTTGTGGTCGAGGTTATCAGAAGATCGGACGGTGAAAAGAGCAGGCCGCATGTTGTCGACATTATGTAATAAATCTAACTAGCAATGTGTATTGTAGGAAGTACTAGATGTCGTGGGCGGGAGCCATGCTGTTTTATGGTCACGCCGGATTCACCGATGTGTTGGGTGAACACTGCACAACCTCACATTGACAAAAATATCCAACCGTACGCGCTATGCCAGCAATTACCATGTGGTGCCAACTAAGCCTGGTAGTGCAGGCGCGAATAGGGTGATAACAAACACTTACAAGAGTACACTGGTAATCCCCGCCAAACGCGTGAACGGACCTTGGCCAACATCTTCGCAACGTTCCGCACCCAGCTCTCACTTGCGGCTCCACGACGCCGTACACAGCACTGCGGCCACAACCCGGCAACCGTCTTTGATTTACGAGGTAGACCAAATGAGAGTGTACAGAGCTCGTGTGTCTTCGAACCCGGTAGTCCCCAAACTCCATTCTCATCTCAAACAAGTGTCCCACGGAAAGAGCGACGTGCAAACCTATGGGTGTCCCTAGTTAACTCCGGTCGCCTTCCCACTATGCAGAACTCGTGCCAGTGGAATACAGCAGTCACTTGGGATGACTAGGCAATCCTACTTAAAGATAGCACTGCTTACCCCCAGAGGGGGGGGGCAAGAAAAGGTACTTAACAATAGCTGGTAGAACACGTCGTCAATAATCTGACCGTAGCTTGTGGACGTAAAATACTCGGTCGGAATACTACAAAAATTACTCCCGTCCCTATTCCGCCTCTGTCTACAGGCTGACAGAGTGACATTGCCTACTCAGCAGCATGGAATGTTCATTATCTTTTAGACAATCTGATACCAAACCGTACGGAAAAGTGGCCAGGGGGGCGTACTAGCGACTAAGGCGATGTGCAGTGTCGACTGCTGGATGGGTTACTACCTTGTCATCTACAAGATGAGGCTTCCGCTGCAAGGTAACGTAACATCAGATAAGTCAAATGCTGTATTACTTGAAATGGTTGAACGCCGACTGAATTTTGGTAGCATCATGAACTCCAAACCGGGGGAGATGATAACCCTGGAGACACATACTACAATTGAAATCCAGTGCAGGGATCTGAGGAAAATCATCCAGGCCACCGCGATGGAAGGCCTCGGCCGCGCAAGTCGTCAGCAGCAGGATTGATACGGCGACAATGATGAAGAAGAATTCCACAATCTCCTCACCCGGAAACAGTCTACATACAACCTACACCATGAACAGTAGCAACGCCAATAAATTCGCATGCTTTCGATGCTGACGCCTACTAAAACAGAGACTAAGGAAGATGCAGAATGGCTGGCTGATTAGTAAATCTGAGAAGATTCAAAAAAGGTCAGTCGTCGTAAGAAGGATAATTTATTCGCTGCCATCAAAGCAGTCTAGGCTCGTAATTCAAGAGGACTGCGACACTGCTGAGTCAAGATGAAGCAGTCCTTTTGACGTAGATGCCACAGATCCTAGAGCGCTGGGACGCGCACTTCCATGAAACCCTCAACCACTCGTCGAGAAGATGCGAAGAGGCCATCAGCCGAGTCTCTTAGGAGGGCACTAACGACAACCTCGGTCGTTTGCCTTCTCTCTTTGAGACAATCAGACCAGTAAAACAGTTGCTCACTGGAAAGGCAGCGGGAGCAGACGCGATTTGGGTTGAATCCCACAAGCATAACTGCCTACAACTAATTGGATGGGGCGATAAGGGCACATGTCCCAAGACCTCGAGGATGTCACCATCATGCAAATCTGCAAACCTAAATGGGATCTGCACCTGCTTGATGCCCACAGAGACATCTTCCCTCCCAACTCCGCAGAAATTTTTTTCGCTCCTGTTCTACTCAATTGTCTGAGTGAACATCTGGTACAAGGGATCCTCACAAAAACGCAGTGCTGATTCCGAGAACACCGCGAAACCAGCGACATTATATTCGCGGCCCGCGAACCGCAGGAGAAGTTCCAGGAAATGAGGACCTTCGCCGACCTGGCAAAAGCCTTTGACGCAGTAAATAGCAGTGGACTTGGAAGACCATGCCGAAACCTGGAGATCATGAGCGACTCACTTAAATGGCAAGAACTGCACGACAGGATGATAACTAGGGGCACGGACAACGGGATAATATCTGAAGCATTTACGCGATATACTCGCCTCCCCTCTATTCAGCCTAATGTTCTTCATCATGCTGATGGACGCCTGCAGTGGGCAGAGGATGCAGGTCTACATCAACTACCAAACCAACGAAAAAATATCCAACATTCGTTGCCTGAATCATTAAAGGTATCCAAGGCCCGTTCATGACCTATTTTCCGCGAATGACTGTGATAAAAACAACGCAAAAAAGAGGACATAAAGTGGGGTGTCGACCTTTTTGCCTCCAAATGTGCCAACTTCGGCTTGACTGCCGGCACGGAGATGGCATTGGTCCAGCACCTACTAGCGCCAAAGGCTAACTACACCGAGCACAATGTCAATGCCATGTGAAGTAATCCCGCAGCAGCAGCGAACTGCGCGTACCTTGGGGGTGCGAATTCAAAACACATCAACATCGACAACTATATCGCATGTCAGATCAACAAAGCCGGTCGGACCCTTAGTCGGCAAAAGCGCTCTGTCTGCAACTGCCGTGACATCCTACTCAACACAAAACTAGGCGTGCACAGGACCGTTGTTCTGACAACGCTCTCCTACGGGGCGGAGATGTGGATTGTTTATGAAGGTCAGGCATTTTAATCTCCGAAGAGTACTGAGAAAGATGACAGACACCGAGATCCTGGGAACAGTCAGTGTCCTTGGTATCCAAACCATGTTGATGAAGACAACTGCGATGTAGCGGGCAAGTCATGAGGATGGACGACGACCTTCTGCTCATGTGGTTATTCTACGGCAAACGAGATGCGGGTGGTCGCCGACAAAGCGGATAAAAGGGTTGTTACAAGGGAAGCTTCGATACCTTAAGGAAACACTTGCAAATCAACCCGAAGATCAAGTATGACCTTGCCCAGAATCAACCGGAATATGGGCTTTTCCCTCATAACTGTCGACGCGTAGCTGGGCCTACACAACTGCCAAAACCGACATGCCGATCTTTCCATAAGGCCTCGTGGTTAATGTAGCAACCTGAGCAACCGGCATGCCCCATAATGAAGGTATTGCTCTTAGCTTCATGTCAACTAGTTCTAGCCAATGCGGATATCAGATGGTGACTTAAAATCGTGCCAGAACAAACAATGACATCGCAAGTGTATATCATCTTCGGCTAACCAGAATTTTAGGCAAGCTCCGATTCGATGCTGAAAAATTGCCTTGTGCGTAATCACCTTGCCTGCCCTAAAGAAAGAAGTGCAGTAGCAGGCAAACTGCTGCAATGTATACAGTCCTGTTTTTAGCAGGGGGGTTCTGAGGGCGTAAAGAATCACAATATTACGCGGCCGGAAATCCGTTATGCTGTGTACAGCACTAGAACTTTAACCTAAACGCCCACCACGATGTTCTTCACATTCTACATAGGAGCAGGTGCCAGACTACCTTTCAAAGTCGAAGACCTTAATGCGGTGATCCGCCACCATTTCAACAGAGCGCACGACAACCTCAAGCTTCGAGCAACGCAATCTTCCACCGGCCCTAACTGCTATTGGTATCCTGATGTACGTATCAAGCTAGCCTACTGCCTCTTTAGATCATGTTGGGCCATCCGAAAACTCCAGGCCACATGATGACCGAATAAACGTGTTTCGCATGCGCATTTGTCACAATCCTATGTTGCTTTTCATTAATTTGCACTTTACAATAAAAGTCGATAAAAAGAAACTTCACTTGACCCAACTACGAGAAACTCTGCGGCGTAAAGGAGATTCGAACCGACGGCAGAAAGGTTATGGCCTGAGTACAGCAAATGCTTTAGCCACCTGAACTATGGGCCCTCCCGGGAGCCGTGGCTTTCATCAGATTTTGGCCAAGGTACCCGCCCAGCCTGCCAAGACGTCTTGAATCCACCAATTCTGATACAGTAAGCTGACTGTCCAAATAGGATTTCCTAAGCAATCAATCTAGACTCCACCAGATTACTACTAGGCTTACTTAATTAATTGGTTTTTGACGGATTTGAAAAAGTTACTTGAAGCAATTATAAAAACACTCGGCGGCCTGAGTGGGATCCGAACCCCCGATAAGCCCGTAGCCCGGGTGATTAGAGCGTTGGCTGTATTCAAGTGTAATCGAGTGACGCCGAAGCCAACGACTTTTTCGCAATTGGGTCTAACCAATTATTTAAATCTGTCAAAACCCCGATTAAAAGGAAAATCCATCGCTCCACTGACCAAAACGGACTAACATAAAGGCATTTTAAATAAAAATCTTCAACAATACAGAATATCGTAACTAGTAACACAGGCAATCGGAGAAAGAGTTAGTGGTCAAAGAATAACAACGAACGACGTATCTCGATATTGCATTGGTAGGCAGTGAGCAGGATAACATGACTGTCACAGACTATCGCATACAACTCGCCCGCAATTTGTTCTGCCGACTCCGAAAGTGTGTGTACTTATTACGTCAGTGATCATCCCCTACGTAGCCGGCTTTAATGATGTCGTAAATTAGACCTCTCCATGCGCGATAGTCTGTCTCAACGCGTTTGAAGAGCTGGACCCACTTTTGCCTGTAACGACGGAGACCGAATACCAAAAGTCCAAGAACCACCTCCACGTCTTGACATGTTGAGTCGGATTTTATGTTAGTCTTTTCAACGTCTCAAGGTGGGCATCAGCTCCAGATTGAGGACAACAACAGTAATCTCATGGAATGGACGATAACGAACGTGTCCAGACAACCTCAGTCGTCCCTCCTGGTTGGCCAGAGATATTTTCACAATGTTGATGCAGTGAGTGCGAACTACCTCGTTCAAGGGAATGTGTACTTCACTCAAGGTATAGGATACTGCACATTTGCCCAAGCTGACAATCACGAAACCTGAGGGGCGCCTTTTCCTAGCCAGGAATACAACTCTAAAAAACCGGTCTTTCCAGCGTTTGGGACTAAGCCGACTACTTTGGCCTGCGACTGTACAGGCCGTAGGCCGTCAGAGCTTGACGCTCGATGACAATAAGTACTCGTTGTGACGTTGAGATACTAAAGTGCAAGATTCTTGGGCGGTTCAGTCTGCGGCTTAATAAGTACTGTCCACTAACTGGTGTAAGGCAAACCCGGGACCCGGTTGGCTAGCTAAACTATGAAATTGAAAACAAGCATGCACAGCAGAATTTATTGGGGCCAATAAATTTCGTGACGGCTTTTCAACTGCAGCCCGTCTCTGCATAACATAGGTAACGAATGAAAGCGCACAGCAGTATGAATTTGTACAGAATGGCAGTGCATAAGAGCAAGGTCAAAGTTCAAAACAATCAATAATCAGATAAGACGTCCACATAAGCATCAAAATTCTGCCGTACATGCTTGTTTTCAATTCATACCGGGGAAAAAATGCTTCAAATTAAGCTATGAAAAACAAACAAAAGCGAAAACCGTGAAGAAAATACTGCGCCAAAAAGATGGCTTCCTATTTCTGTGAATACAAGGCGCAGCGAAGCAAAGTCAGCCTTAATTATCATAGCTCGACAGGAAGTAGAACGAAATTTCCCCAAAAGTCGAGAAGACAAAACTACTTTCGCAGCTTCCTTCAGAAAATTGCAGCATGGGACCCGCTTCGCAAGAAAGAACTGAGGAGGATGTCAAAATTGCAAGCAACAGGGGAAAGATAGACTAGGGTTGGAGTATTTCAAGTCGGTCCTCCCAAGCGAGGCGCATGTTCGCCCTTACACCTCGGCGGATCGGGTGAATATATTCTATGAAATCATCCAAAAGGATTAAAGCAATCGAAAAAACGTGCTTTGTGATAGATCGCACTCACGCTCCTCAAGGAGAGGGTCCGCTAGCCTGGTAGTTAGCGGGCTAATAAGCCTCTGCTAATCTTTAAGCTACCTCCAACTGGAAACGACCGCACATGCGGTGGACATAGCGCGATACAAGCCATGCTCGCCCACAAGCTAAGCATCGGAAACAAAGTCCAGACACAGGTATTTGGCATGCATTTGCCGTACGGTCATAGGGAGGATTACAAAGAACGAGCTGACGTAGAAACTAGTTCCTCGTGATCTGAAACCTGATATTGAACTCGCAACATAGTTTACTGAAAGATGTGCTGTGCCAGACTGATTTGAAAATTGTCACACATGGGCCAGACATAGCTACTCGCAGACAGATGTATGGTCCGAGTCGCATATACTTCGAAAGGCCTTCCCTGACGTACGTAGTTGGTGGTGGGAATAGGAAGCGGTTGTTAATTATAACCCAAAACAGGGAGAATTTTGGACATATACGGGTATAAAGATGTAGACCTGACTGTACAAATGTAACGATAAACGAAAAACTTACAGAAACCCGAATAACTATGCGGGAATATCATAGCCTATAAATGAACAGTCTGTCTTAATCGCAGGAGAAATCTTGAAGGGTCACCGGCGCCCAAACATTTCCTATTGGCCCTTAATGCCTGTTCGCTTATTAGTTCATTTTTCAGACCGCCTTCTTGGAATTGTTACGCATCACACGTTCGACCGGGCTGTCTGAACGAGCTGGGGCTGCTTTGGCGCGGATCCCAGATGGGTTAGAGAAGATGGCCGTATTCCTCCCCTCACAATCGCTGAAGCCGCTTCACTCGCTTTCGCGTCCGTCCTTGTCGCGTTTCCTTCATCTTCAGCGCACTCCCATGTCCTTACCTACAGTTGCCGAGAGGGCTGCAATCTGAACTAGCATCTAACTGATATGGCGTAACCATATCCTACTCTAAATGGGACATATGTACAGTACATCATTACTTTCTTGTATTCGTTATTTGATCCGCACATCCAGCCTTGCCTGTTGAGTGTGAAGTTTAAACGGGTGACCTCGGAGGTTGGCCGTGGTAGCAATTTCTAAAAATTCCTGGAAGGCCGCGTTGCAATCAAATTCCTTCACAATGCGAAATGCCCGCAAGAGATCTGCGCGAAGTTGTTTGTAACTCAAAAGGAAGAGGTTCAGATTTACTAGGCGGTTTGCACATGGAAAGGACCTTTGACCCCTAACCGTCTTTCTGATTCGCCTTTGCACTCTTATGAGGCAGTTTTGATCCTCAACCTCTCACGGTCGCCAGGCTTGTATGTCGTACTACAAATGCGGTCGGACGAATGTTCCGAATGTCTTTGAGAAAGCTTCTTCGTCGCAGTCCATAAACGCACGCTTCATGGCGTACATTACGGACTTTGCGATTTTTGCCACTCTCGAAGAATGGGCGGATGGTTTTAAGGAACTCGTCGTCAGCACGCCGAGGTCTTTTTGGGCTTCGACCTCTTGTAGGGCTGCACCGCTCAGAAAGTAGTCTCTTGTGCTGGCAGATCTGGCTGTGTTGTGCAGGCGAAGTACGCTACATTTGTCAATGTTGAACCCCAGAAACCAACGGTTTGACCACCCCTCCAACCGATCTAGGTTCACCTGCAGTCTGCATGTTCTTCAGGATCCCGAATTACACTCCATATCTTCATGTCATCGGCAAACATTGCTACTTCGCAGTCTAAAGCTCTTGCGCAGTCGTCCACGTTTATAAGGAAAAAGGTAGGTCCTAGTACTGAACCCTGGGGGAAACCGCTCTCGATCGTAACAGGATCTGATTTCCCCGACCGATGCACACAACCTGGTGTCGACCCATAAGGAAGTTTTTGATCCATTTAAGAAAGTTGCCACCGATCCCTATTTTTTAGTTTATGTAATAGCCTCTGGTATGGCACAGTGTCAAGCGCCTTCTGGAACTCGATAAAGGCTATGTGGACCGCGTGCCTGTTGTCGAGAGCTCGGGTCCAGCTCTAGAGATATTGCAACAAGTTTGTCGTGCAGGATCTTCCTTTCCGGAACCCATGTTGGCATTTCGATAGCAGGCCGCGAACTTCCAGGAATGGCATCAGTTCACTCTTTATGATCCTTTCCATAAATTTGTTAAGAGATGATGAGTCACTTAATGTTCTCAAAGCATTCCGAATAGAAAAGAGTCAGTCAGCATCCGGTTCCAATTCCCGACCTCGACCCCTAAAAGTCATTTTGGAGACTGAAGCACAGGACCAGCTCCTGTTACAGAGAAAATCATCTCTGCGGGGTCAGCATCCTGAATTTTTTTTCAGCTGGATTACAATCCTAAAGAGCGAATGAAAACGAGAGAGCTGATGACGGAGCTGGAAAAGGGGAGAAGCAGCGGCGAAACACACCTACAAATAAAGAACAGACAAATAATTCAGGTCAAAAGGGCATTTCTTTGGCCGAAGACCGTCATTCTAACAGCTTAACCGATGCAAAGGTGCCAACTCCTGAGGTTGCTCGCACCAGTGGCCGTTGTCTCGAAATCTATTACACTAACTGTCAGAGTCTTCTCAACAAGCTAGAAGAACTCAGATTAATAGTCTCTGAACAGAAGCCACACATAATTGACCTAACAGAGACATGGTTGACTGTGGAAATAAGTAGTAGCCAAGTCAGTATTGAAGGCTACCAATTGTTCCGTTGTGACAGATTTCAGCGTAGAAGAGGAGGCACAGCGATTTATGTGTCAAACGAAATTGCGTGCTGTCAACGAGAAATATCCGATGGTGCGCCCCGAAATTTTGAAATAATTTCATTCAAGATATATATCAAACTTTTACCGACACTGAACCTGTATGTTGTCTATCGGCCTCCTAGCTCGAATTAAATCGCCAATATGGAATTACTTAGTCCACTGGAGTTGATATGTAAGCAGGAGAACTTACTACTTCGGGTGACTTTAACGCTCCAGGAATAGACTGGAACATTCCCCTAACAAACGCCCCGTCCACGTCATTTGACCACAAGCTACTACAGCTCTCCCTGAATGAATACCTCATTCAGCACATAAAACTCGGAACAAGAATGAGAGAAGGACAACGATCTAACTGTTTAGATCTCGTTTTCAGTAAAGAAGAAGGACTCATAAGGGAAGTGAATCCACAACCACCACTCGGTTTAAGCGATCATATTGCTTTTACCTGCGCGTGCTCTCTCCTATCCAACCAACAACCAAACATCAAAAGGCGCAGAAATATTTGGAAGGGTGACTTTAACGCAATGACACGCACGCTTTTGGAGGAAACCTGGTTGGTCAACACAGAAGATTCAAACGAATTCTGGCTGTACTTTCGCGGTATTATAGAGCGACTAATTGATTTCCATTGTCCAATAAAAATGACAAGACCATGTTCTCGACCGCCGTGGGTCAATCCAACGAAAAAAAGACCATGAAGAAGAAACAGAATCTCTGGAAAAAGTATTTGTAACTTCGAGATCCACGGCCATTCGCCGAATATAAGGATCAGCGCAATAAATGCCGCCAACAAATGCGGGTTGCTAGAACTTCTTTCGAGCGCCGACTAATACCAGAATCCATTACATGTCCCAAGAAGTTTTACGGGTACATCCGCAGTAGGAGGAAACATAGGGACGAAATTGCGTGTCTAAAGAATAGCCTCGGAAACTTATTAGTTGAAGGGCCACAGAAAGTGCGATTACCGTCTCAGTTTTTTCCATCGGTTTTTACGGAGGAGTACATAGAACACAATCAGCAGCTTGAAATAGACCGAGACAGCCAGGAGCTTCAAATGCGCCAAGATATTGCCATCATTGAAACCGTCGCCATTTCCGTCGAAGAAGTCAGACGCGTCCTCAGTCAAATAAAACCCGATAAGTCTCCCGGACCCGATGGAATTCCCGGACAAATACTTAAGGAGCTATAACGGAGCTGTCAAAGCCTCTTTCGAATCTCTTTGAGCTGTCAATGAGAATAGGAAGGCTTCCCTCACAGTGGAAGACAGCTAACCTCGTTCCATTGCATAAGGCAGGTAGCAGAATGACAGCAAGCAGCTTTAGGCCTATTAGCTTAACTTGCCACCCTTGCAAAACGATGGAAGCTATAGTAAAGAGCGCTATACAGTAATTTTGTGAAGAAAATAACATCTTGCAGGATTTTCAACATGGCTTCCGGAGAGGACGTTCCTGCCTCTCAAATCTGCTAGCTTGTCTGGAGATCTGGACCAGGGCTCTAGAAGAGGGTTTTGAGGTCGATGTCGTATACAT